TTTAATAAAACATTCCTGTGTTCCCTCCTCCCCCACCCACCAAATTGAAATTCTGCCTTTGTCTACCATTAAATTCCCACATATACTTAAATCTATTTCAGGACTCACTATTATATTCCACAGTCAATTCCTATGCCAATATCATACTGTGTTTATTACAGCACATCATAATAGGTTTTAGCCTGTGAGGACCTGGTTTCCAGTGTATATTCATATATTTTTCTGTGCCTTTCAATGGCAAGTTGGAAGAGGGAGAATTAGGGATGTTTACTAAAACCGGAACCTCCCAAATGGACTGTTCTTAAATTTTTATTTATTGATTGATTTTTAGAGAGGGAGGGGGAGAGAGAGAAAGAAAGAAATTTCCCACTTAATTATAAATTCATTGGTTGCCTCTTACATGTGCCCTGACTGGGGACACAACTGATTGCTCTTAAAGGAATAAAGAGCACTGCGGCAAATAAAATTTAGAGAAAAGAGTTCACTTACATGGTGAGCAGAAATGTGAATTGTTAACATCTATTATGATTACAAACATATATACCTTTTTGGTTGTTGTTGGTTAATCCTCACCCAAGGATATTTTTCCCACTGATCTTTAGAGAGAGTGGAAAGGAGGGAGGAAGGAGGGGAGAGTGTAACATAGCAGGCCTGAGACTCTACCCTTCGGCCTGCTGGCGAGGTTGGCTGGTCCTCGGCTGGTGTCTGTCCGTTTCCCACACTGATATCAAACTTTCCCTAAATGGCAGTGGTTTAATGTGCTTCAACTGTTTGCACAAACAACAAGGTCTATGCTGAATGCCTGAGTCTATATGGGAGCCTGGGATTGTGGTACATGCTAGGCAAGCGGTGGCTACATGAACAGCCCCCAATAAGACTCTGGGCACCGAGGCCCAATAAGCTTCCTGGACGATACCACTGGGCACATGTCACAACTCACTGGGCGGGACTCGGCACATTCCGAGGGTCTCCACGGGGAGAGGACTCATGGAAGCTGACTCCTGGTTTCCTCTGGACCTCACCCCATGCGCCTTTCCCTTTGCTGACTGGCTCTGCGTCCTTTGGGGTAATACATTTTACTCACGAGCACAACTATATACTGAGTCCTGGGGGTCCTTTCAGTGAATCACTGAGACTGGGAGTAGTCTTGCGGATCCTGGACACGGGAGGTAGGAGAAGTTGTGGGCGCAGAAGGTAGTAAATATTGTAGAAAAAGAGAAAGGTGCGTCGATAAAATCGCCACATGAGCTCTGAGCTCATTTCTATTCTGGCATCTCTGCTTGGATACACGCACAGAAAGACATCGCGAAGGATGGTGACCCCGATGTACATGGTGTTACCTCAGGATGGTGGGATTTTAGGTGGTTTCTCCCAGTTCCCTGATACTTTCCTGTGTGGTTTGAACTTGTTTTTACAGTGAGCCATACTTTAATTAGATAATCAGAAAAAAAGATAAGGCTATTTTTTTTTTCATGAAAAAGGAAATAAAAACTGATGGTTGGAGATTCTTGTTTAAAAATAGCATCTTTGATGCTGTCTCTCTTAACTTTCCATTAAATCCTTACAAAAATAGAGAGAAAGTGAAAACATCCCGTGGGAAGTTAGGTGGCTGATAGCCTATTCCCAGAAGCTGACAGAAATTTCCACTAATTTTATGGCTTGAGGAGTTGTTTAAAGAACACAATCAGTAGATTGTATAAGTCAAGCCCCAGAGTGGTCTTGCCTGAGGCCTGGGAGGAAGCTCCCTGCTCCTACTGCACTGCCTTCTGGTTAGGAATCGCCAGATCTGCATCCCAAGAGGACTGGGGAAGCTTGCCCTCCAGGGCATCGGTGGTGGTTTCTGGGACAGCTGTCCCTTTTCTTTTAGAATCTCTTCTCTGGATAGAAATTCTACTTTCTCATCAGAAAGGAAGCAGAGGTGCTGTAGAGAGGACTTTCAAAGAAAGAATCCTCGTAGGTGTGTATAGCTGAATTATAATTTTTTGGGGAGGGTTCTTTTAATTGGTGAGAGAGAGAGAGAGAGAAACATCAATGTGAGAGGGAAACATTGACCAGTTGCCTTCCGCATGCATCCTGACGAGGGATCGAACCTATAACCGAACCTATAACCGTGTATGTGCCCTGACTGGGAATCCAACCCATGACCCTTTTGGTGTATGGGATGATGTTCTAACCAACTGAGCCACCCGGGCAGGGCTGGAATGACAATATTTATGTAAGGCTTGGCTGCGGGGTGGGAGGGAGAGGAGTGAGTCCTATTTATGGCTAGCAGAGCTGTAATAGACTCAAGTCTGTGGGACGCTGACAACTTGGTTTAAGAAGAGGATTCTACCGGCCACCACACGACAGAAAGTTCAGGGGACGGTGACTCTTCGGTGTATTATCCATACTGGGACAGTTTCGAGAGTGAAGGGGTACTGCTAAGAGTTACAACAGACAACAGTCACAAACCAGGACTGTCCCAAGCAACCTGAGAGGTATGGTTACTCTGGTTCAGGTGCACCCTAAGCTGAGTCAACCTCTCGGACAGGTATAAAGAAGAAAAAGTATCAGACCTGCAAAACAACAACGAAAGCATCACTGGAAAATACTGAAGAACTGGTATATAAAAATAATGCACCATGGCAGACAGAAAACAGAGACCCAAACCTGTCAATGTACTAGCAGTAAACTGGGAGAGAAAACAGAACTGAGTAAAAGCAATATAAAAACACACACCAATTAACAGAAAGAAACTGTTTCAGGATGCAACGGAATTTAGTATTTCACCCCAAGTTCTTCCGAATTCTAGGCAAAATAAATGAAAGCGACCAACACTTAAGAACATCTTGGCAACTGGGAAGAGAAAACGTCCATTATTTGCTCATGATAGAATCATCTGCCCAGGAAAACTAATAGAATCAGCAAATATAAGTCAAGAAAGGTTTCATCGGGATACAGGTCCACCAATAAAAGCCAACATTATTTCTGTGTGTCAACTCTGCCATGTAGAAAATACAATAAAAAAAAAATCACCGCAGTAACAGAAACAATAAAATATCTAGAATGAACCAGGAATTAATAAGGAGTCTCTAAGTCAAAGGTGAAAGCCTAGTCTATACCCTTAAATGATTTATTATTGTAAAAATGTTAATCCTTTCAAATTCCAATGCAGTCCTAGGAAAAAGTATTGTGAATTTAATGAACACGATAAACACACATTAAAATGTATACTGCAAAATAAAAGTCTATATACAGGTTAATTGACTTTAATAAAGAAGAGTAGAGAAGATGGAGTATCCTATGATACACTAAGACATGCTATAATAAAAACTGATTGGCATTAATGCAAAAACAGGCAGATATAAAAACAGAACAGAGCACTCAGAAACAGAATATACATATTTACCATATAATAAAATCAGTGGTAAAGGACAGGTTGTTTAGGAGATGGTGTTGAGAAAACCTGCTCACCATACAGAAGAAAATGAAACTGGGTTTCTTTCTAAAACCACACACACAGGTGGATTATAAACGATTAAAAACCTACATGTGAAAGGTAAAGGTACACAGTTCACAGAAGAAAATATAGGACAGTATCTTTGTGACCTGGAAACAGGGAAAACCCTCTCTCTCTTTTTTAAAATATATTCCTATTGATTTCAGAGAGGAAGGGAGAGGGAGGGAGAGAGATAGAAACATCACCGATGAGAGAGAATCATGGATCAGCTGCCTCCCATACGGCCCCTAGTGCAGATCGAGCCTGCGACCCAGGCATGTGCCCTTGACCAGAATCAAACCCGGGACCCTTCGGTCCGCAGGCTGACGCTCTATCCACTGAGCCAAACCGGCTAGGGCTGGGGAAAGCCCTCTTAAACAAAATTCCAAAGCACAAAATATAAGATGAAATCCTGAAGAATTTGATTACGTCAAAATTAAGGATTCTCTTCCACAAAGCATATTATAAAAACATCAGAATGCATACAGAATAAGAGGATATATTTACAATGTCTAAAGTGAATATAAGATTTATAAAATGTTCATAAAATTTCTGATAATCAACAAAAAAATGATACCAACTCCAGTAGACAAAGGGACAAAGGATATGAACAAGCAGTTTATAGAAAACCCAAAAAGCAAACGAGTATTCAATGAGATGCTCAAATGCAATGGTAAATGGAGAAATGAAAAGTGCAACAGCGAGATATCATACCACCTACCAGTCTGGCAAAATGTATAGGCAGCTGGATGATACTGTAAGGATGTGGGCACACAGTGACCCCCATGTACAGCTGGTGGTGGTGCAGACTGGCAGAGGCATTTTGGAGAGGAACCTGGCACGCCTTATATCAATTAGGTTTGCACCTACCCAATGACCTAGGCCCTTTTCTCCAGGTATATATGCCGGGGACATTCTCCCAGAGACACAGGATTTCTTTTTATGTACACATATAATATTTTACACTAAAAGGGTTCATATGGAAGGTCTGATAATAGGTGTAAGGAAATGAAAAGAAATACATGAATGAGTGAATGAAATGAGAAGGGAGCCCTGTAAGGTCAATGGGGATGGGTACCAGGATCTGAAGAGCATCCTGATGCCAACATTGCACACCTCAGTCACTGCAGGTGGTGGGTAATGAAGGGTGGAGGAAGTTGTTTCAAACATCTGGGCAAAACTTTTGAATGACAAAATAAAATTAAAAAAGTTCCTCATGCAGTTCAGCTGAGGGAAACACCTCAGTTAACAGAAGAGACAAAAACAGGCTGTTTCAGGCATCTCTCCAACTTTAAATACCAGACGACAAAATGTCTCCAGCATTTTGAGGCTAAAATAATTTGGAGCTAAGACAGCCAAATAAGTTTTCCATGTGTGAAAGGTAACAGAAAGCACTCCAAGGTATGTGTAGATACCGAAAAATATACCATCACGAACATTTCTTGAATCAAAGAACAGGTTCCACAGATTTTTGAGAAGGTACCGGCAAGGCCTCCTCCGTGTCTGTAAAATGTACAATTACCTTTTGGAGAAAGAGGACGATCCTCAGGAGCATCTGGGCGCGGAGCTCCTCCAAGGTAAACAGCGTGCGGGGAGTGCGGATGAAAATCTTGGTCTTCCCGTAAGCCACGTCTTCCTGAAAGCCACACTGTTCGATCAGTTTCTTCACAGCCTCTTTGTCTGAAGGGAGGTCGTGGTTGGGCCAGGTGAATTCTGAGATCATCTTGTACCTGGTGAACCAAGAACAGGGCACGGATGAAGGGAGGAAAACCACGTGGTCTCAACAGGCGCAGAAAAACCATTCCGTAAAATTCAAGATGCTCCACAGAAAAGAAAAAAAAGAAAACAAAACTTCTTTGGAAATTAGGAATAGAAATAAATGTCATAGCCTGATAAGAGATGTGGAAAAAAACCTCCACTAAGATCCAACACTCCTTCGTGATAACACCCCTTCCTAACGCAGGGATAGAAGGGGCCTTCCTGAATTTAATAAAGGCGCTGCGCCAAGAACTTACAGCCGATATCACCTGTAAAGAGGCAACGTTGGAAGCATTCTCCTCACAGATAGAAACAAGACAGGGTTGCCGCTATCACAGGTTTTCTCACCAGCACAGTGAGACTAATAAACGAACAGATAAGTGATTGGGGAAAGTGCACAACTGACATTATTTATGCACAATATACTTGCTTCAGAGGAAACCAAGCAGATAAACTATTATCACGGAAAGAAAAGTAAGCAGCATTCTGCATATAAGATGAATAGACAAAAATCAACTGTGCTCCTATGTGCAAGTGGCCAACACTTCTTGGCCCCGTGGGCCTCTCACAGGGCAGCTCCCTACACACCAACTTCACGACACAGGATGTGAGTGTGAGCAAGATGGAAGGCACAGAGTCACAGCCTTTTGCAGCCTAATCCCACAAGTGACATCCCATCGTGTTTCCCATATTCCATTTTGCTAGCAGCAGATCACCAGGCCCAGGCCACCCTAGAGGGAAGGGGACTAGACAGGGTGAATTCCAGGAGGTGGGGATCTTGGGACCAGCTTGGAAGGCTGCTTACCCCTGGGCTCCCCCTGACCCAGGTGCAAACTTGTTCAATACATGGAGTCAAATTTAGTCATGTTCACACTCTGCATCCGAATTTTAAGTCACAGCAAGAAAGGCTTTGCCCACTCTCATTAGTCTGTGGGTATCAGGAAGGAAGGGACTGTGTTTTGTTCCCCACTATATATATACCATGTTGCCTGCCATCTGATGAGGAAATGGATTTGTTGAGTGAAACAAACAAACAAAAAAACACCCAGAAGGAAATACATCTAAAAGCTTACTCACTTGCCAGAGAGGGACAGAAATAGAAGCCCAATGAAAGAATTCTACTATGAAGAGAGAGGTAACATTACACAACATCATGTGGAAAAAGGAAACAAAATCAGAAACCTTACGAATCCTATATAATAAAAGGCTAATATGCAAATCGAATGAACTGCCGAACGACAGGTCACTATGACGCACACTGACCACCAGAGGGCAGACGCTCAACACAGGAGCTGCCCCCTGGTGGTCAGTGCACTCCCACAGGGGGAGCGCTGCTCAGCCAGAAGCTGGGCTCACAGCTGGCGAGTGCAGTGGCAATGGCGGGAGCCTATCTCGACTCCACGGCAGTACTAAGGACCCCTTGGGGGGTGTCCGCCTGCAGCTTCCTCAACTCTATTGTTCATTCACCAGATAGTCAGATGCTCACGCACGGTCCCACATGGGGAAGCCTAGGACTCCATAGTTCTCAGTGTGCTAGCAGGTTTCTTTGTTGAGACCATTCTCACCTGTGCAGAAACTTCTCGTATGCCTGGCGGAAGGCAAATCCTGCCCGTCGCACCCTCACGTTTTCCAATAGTCCAAGGTACTCAACCTGATGCCGGCAGCGCTCATCATCAAATACCTGCGGGGATTTCTTGTCATTGGGTTTGATGCAACGTACATAGTAAGGTTCCTAAAGAAATGAATCAGCAAATGGTGAGTTTCAGAAAAACCACAGGCCAATGGCACTAACACGCTAGTCTAATTTTAAAGAGTAAAACGATTCAAAGCTGAACTATGGTTCCTGTGACAGACTGCCTACTTCTGATTCACCTTTATTGCTATGGCATCCTTTTGGGACCCTAACCCAAAGTGAGAAGGGTTAACCCCTGACCTCCACCTTTTCAAGCCCTAGTGTCTGTGTCTGTCTCACTAGCCCCATGTGGTTGTTGGAACCACTACTCAAATCCCATCCACTTGCTCTGCAGTTGGCAAATTCCCCCCAGAGAAAGGAGGTCTCAAACCTGGGCTCTTCTCCATGGCTTCCAGCCCAGGAGTTCTCCACTATCTTGTTATCTCTCCAGTGTCTTTAAGCAAAGGTTTTGCATATTTTATTTGTGTTTCCTACATGTCCCCAGCATGGATGTGGGTTTAAATTACCTAGTCTGTGATTATTAAAGTAGAAGCCCTAATGTCCTCATTTCATATATCAGATGCCCAGAGACAACACCAGACCTGGACCATGTTAAACTAAATTGCTGGCCTGAACTTTTTCAGGCTACCCAGGTAGTGAGAATGTGGACTGCAAACCTCATAAAAAGCTACCTTATGATGATAAATTCTCAAGGGATGTTCACCTACTCCCTCATGGCTCACTGCAATTTCTCTCCTTTTTATTTTTTATTTTTTTATCTTTATTGTTCAGATTATTACAGT